AGGATCCATGTATTAGTAAGTGAAACATAAACTTGTACCACTTTTTACGAAAATTGGGCGGACGGAGGAGTATGAAGTTTCGTACGCTTAGAGTTTATGTAGGGAAGGAGTGCGGAATGTAATATTTTTTTTTAAATTATGCATAAAAATACATTAAATCAATATAGAAAACATTACACACACTACCATGTACTTGTTACACACCCGCATATAATTACATTCTTATTTTTTGTACTAGCGACCCGCCCCGGCTTCGCACGTGTGCAATGCTGAATGTTTGATTTCGCGTCGCATTTGAAACCTCTAAAATTATCAGTGTTTCTCTACAATAGTATCTCTATCTTTCGGAAGAGGTCCAAGATATTATCAAAAATTTAAAACCCAAATCCGCCCCGGACCCAGACAATATTAGTTATAAAATCCTTAAAGCTCTCCCTGGCCCACTTATCTGTTTACTGGCGACCATTTACAACACTTTACTCTCCAGTTGTTCCTTTCCGGACGACTGGAAAGAAGCCACGGTTATCGGCATTCGCAAGCCGAATAAACCAGCCAATCAGCCCTCTAGTTATCGTCCCATCAGCCTCCTCAGTTGCCTGGGGAAGCTTTACGAGCGGCTTCTATTAAACAGGCTCAAAGAGCACGTGTTTTCCAACGGCCTTCTGCCGGCGGAACAATTCGGCTTTCGAGCAAGACATTCCTGTCCCGATCAATTATACCGCATAACGGAACATATCCTAAAAGGCCTAAATCACCCTAAACATATTAGCACGGGGACTCTTTTCTTCGATGTCGCAAAGGCATTCGACAAAGTCTGGCATTCTCAAAGTGCGCAACGGGCTTGATTTACACACCGTTCTTCTTGTTCTCCTTTCGATATCGAGTTGAGGGCGCCCTCAAAGTGCCAGACAGGCTTGTACACAAGGCTCCTGCCTCTCAGCTATTTTTATACACGAGCGATATACCAAAAGACCCCCACGTCAATCTCGCGCTTTTCGCGGATGACACGGCGCTCTTTTATTCAGACCGCAACCTTAGTCAACTAACCACTCGACTCCAAAGCGCCGCCAACCGCCTCGGCGATTGGTTCCGCAAATGGAGAATTGAAGTAAATCCCGAAAAGAGTGTGGCGATTCACTTCACACGAAGTACTTACCCGTCACATCTTTATAAAGGTCGTCGCCAATGCAGAAAGCTAGGGCAAATATCTCTTTATGGCCAACCGCTCCCCTGGGAGAAAAAGGTAAAATATTTAGGAGTCACCTTCGACTCGCGTATGCCATTCACAGCGCATATTAATAACGTCCGTAACAGAGCCGCGTTCGTCTCCGGCCGGCTAAGCACTTTAACTAACCAGTCAAGTAAAATGTCCTTAAGACACAAATTACTTTTATACAAAGCTTGCGTACGGCCAATCATGTCCTACGCATGCATGATTTTCGCCCACACGCACCCTACTCGCTTGCACAAGTTGCAAGTAGTGCAAAATAAGTTCATCCGCCGCGCAACCGGTGCGCAGTGGTATCAACGCAACGTCGACCTGCACAGTGATTCGCGATTTTTTCAAAGACCTGACCAAACGGTTCTTCGATAGAGCCGAACATCATCCCAACCCTCTGGTGGTAAGCGCAGCAAATTACCAACCCGATCTAAACGCGAGCGTCAACAAGCGGCGCCCGCGAAACGTCCTCATCGACCCGGTCAAGGAAGGGGACTTAGGTACGTCGGACCCACCGTTGGGGGTCCCGCCGGATAACACTACACACACAGTTAGTGTAGCAACAAATACATTAGTTCGCCCTCGCCTCCGAGCACGGCGAGACTAACACAACGCGTACACAAGGTACACCCGCGTTCCAGGGCGGTTCTCACCGCCCCCAGCCACCGATTAGCTAAAAACACAGTCGACGGCCATCGGGGTCTCGGTCCGCACCGCTACTTCGATGGCCCTTAGATGACATGTCGTAGTTAAACGCACGCATGAGCACATGCGCGGCCCTACCCACAGCGGAGGGCCCAAACCCGTGGGTTCTGGCTAGCCCACCGGTTCTGCGTCAGATGAAGCTTTAATAGACTCTGGACTGAAAGCACAAACATCAGTTAATACAAGATACAAGATCTCTATCTTTTAAAGAAAACCGCATCAAAATCCGTTGCGTAGTTTTAAAGATCTAAGCATATATAGGGACAGACAGACGGCGGGTTGACTTTGTTTTATACTATTTAGTGATTGTATTGGAAAATAGATTAATATTAATCAAACTTATAATTGAAATCAATTATGGTCGAATTTCGACCACTCGGTGTCCGATAGTCTTATTAAATAGACACATCGTGGCTTTATGAACGCCATTCGTAAAGGCCCATTTACATGGTGCCAGTTTCTTGCCTGTTGTATACAATTAAATTGAAGCAATAAATGAGTTGCATGGTCTAAACAACAAATGGTCTCAACAATTATTGCGCGCAATTTATTGCATTCAATTATTGCTCTTGTATGTACAAGAAAATGGCATCGTGTAAATGGGCCTTAAGGGATTAGCTTTCGTCTCTGTCCTGTCTTTCTCCTGCACGGCGACAGGTCTATCACCTGTCGCGATGTCGGATTTCAACAACTGCAGTATACCCCATTTGGCTTTTACTTACGTGATAGCGCGCGATATACCCACCGTCAGCATAATTGGACCTGGCATGCGACCATACGCGTCACCATAAAGAGAGAAGAAGAAGAAGACCATACGCGTCACCAAGTATGGCCACATGAATATGGCCGAAGGGATTATACCTCTATTACAGCGACTGGTTGTCCTAATTATGCTGTCCTAATAAGGCGTGGTCAGCACCCTTCAAACGCGTGCGTGGTGTGAATTCGTTTGGCGTTTGTGCGTATGTAGCTTCTATATACATAGAGGGTTTATAATAGGGGCGGTTTTAGTTTCTCAAATACCGATTAATAAACCGATAATGTTACTAGACAGTGTATAAGGGATTTGAACGTATAGTAACAGCCTATATATGTCCTAATTCTGACAAAAGGCAGAGTAGCTGTGTATAGGCTATGACCGCTGTTTTCGGTATAACATAATCTACCCCACAGCGGATCGATACAAATCTTTTAAGTATTTTCCCTTTTTTTATTATTTCGAAAACAGACGTTTCCGCGTGACGTTTTCCTTTACCGTTTTGAACGCGGGCTCAGTTTATTTGTGACTTCAAATGCTCATGTCAGTTGCTAAAATAAAGATGAAACTTTTACATTCTACGTTTGCATTATCGCCTTTTACATTATTTTTATGTAAAATTATGACGTTTCATAAGAACGCGCAAGCGTCTATGTGAACAAAGAAATAAGTAATACTGAATGCTTGAACAAGTAATACTAAAGTTGAATAATTTTTGAGAGCCAGTGGATATTTCTCAGATAAGCCTGTCTATCCTATGGTACCCACTGCTGTTCATTGTAAATAAATATATATAAATACAAGTATGTAAGGCTTGATAGCTTAGTGCCTTCGCTTTTAATTCATTATACTACAGTAACTAAATTCAAATACCGGAGCCGGCTCCAATCAAATTGTTAATTTTAAGCGCTGATTTATCACATGCTCAGCAGTGAAGGAAAGCATCGTGAGGAAACCAGCATATTTTCGAAATATGAAAAAAAAAATATATTTAGAAGACATTTGAAGTCTGCCAATCCGCAATCAGCAGTGGTGGATAATGCCCTAAGGAGGACTTTGCCCATGTATAGGCTGTTACTTAAATAAATACTTTTAAGACTCGGCTTAACTCGTTTAAGGAACATTTTTATATATGCATGCACGTTCGTGCACTATTTACTTATAGGCGTTGTTATCAAACAGGTTTGCGATTGGAAACCAGGCAGTTTGTGGGTATAGCGTTCCAAATGGAACGACGGAATTCTGTTATTCCTTTTATGTCGATAGTATTGTAGTAATTGTCGCTTTGTCACGATTTTTATTTCATTTAATTACGGGCCAATTATTGACAATGTTCTGTCAATTGGGCAATTAACTCGATTAGTTCAATGAAACAAGTTAACCACTGTAAATATAATGTCTAAATATAGGGCTCACTTAAAGTATTACAAGTTACTTCTAAGTTTACTTTATGTTTGATTTTATTTAATTATGAATTTTCGCTAGCACTAGACACGTTAGGGAAATAGTTTTTAACCTAACACTACATCAACATAGAATGAATAGAAGTCTAGAGCTTGGCCGGTTAAATTAAATATAACAAACGTAAGTTGAAACAGAAAAAAAATATAATCAAATTAGATATCTTGCACCCCATTACTTTAATTATTAATGTCACAAAGGTGACCCGAATGGATTATATGCACGCTATAATGTGCAAAACAGTGTAGGTACAATCGGATAACATCGAACGCGTCTGCGAAATATATTTATATTATTTTTTACGTGTTCATTGTAAATTTACGCGCACGACTGTATCCGAGCGGTTAACTTGAAATGTAATCACTTAATTAAGCGCAATCGTTTTTCAAAACTTTGCCTCGTAACCATGTTATTGTAGTGTTTTTCACTAACTAGGTTTTTTTAATAATTAACTCGCATGAGATCGTTTAAAATCGCTTTAACGGAAACTAGGACTATGAGTTAAAGAAGGGATCAATATTATATATTTACTTTTTATGAACAAACATGTATGGACACAGAATGCCATCAGCCATCTACCAGTCAATATTAACGATATTAACTAGCCTTTTAAATACCAGTCCTATCTTACCTTTTGTTTTTATTTTTTCTTTGAAAACATTGCCCTTACTTTAGGATAAAATTATCCTGTGTAGTAAGGACATTTTACAAACATGAATTTCATGCAGACTTTTGAATAGTATAAGTCTCATAATCCTTTACTTATAGTTAATCTATTAAAAAAGGTATTTTAAGTTACGATAGTCATGTACTAGTAAAGTCCGTGAATACGTACTAATAAAGTTTCTTCGTCCATAGGTCCCAGAAGCAGAAGGGTGAAGAAGAAGATGAACCCTGAGGAGAAACGGCCGAGGACCGCATTCAGCGCTGCACAGCTTTCGAGGCTAAAGGTAAAAGGTCTATTTAAAATCCGACATTTTGACAATGCTGTAAATGGCGATCGAAATTCCGTCACAAACATATACAGGATGATTTTATAGACGACAGACATATTAACAGAGCACATCCAGAATTTGATTCTAATTCTGAATCCGGTACGTGACCTCATTTTTTTTTCAAAGATTACTTTTAATTTTTTCCAACATTATGGACACCTTAAGAAATTCCTGCCTTACCGTATCAATACAATAATCTATTGACGAGAGCTAAAACTTTTCGCTGAACGCATAATTACTAAATCGCTTACCAATAGGGTGACCACTCTTAACGGGATAAACAAGCAATGTTTGAATTGATGTTTTTGTGGTTATTTCCGGTCAAAATAAAATATTAATATTTTTCTTGAATTATCGAACGCTCAATTAACATTATGACGAAGTATGTACTTCGTCTAAAAATCACCCTGTATACAGGTGATGCTAATAAAAGCGCGTTAAAAAGGGTATATTCATCATTTCGACCTGTTCGATTCCACTGCCGAACATAGGCAGACAACAACATCTCCCGCAGACTGCCGCGAAGCGAGATCCTGAGCCACCGGCATCCATCGACTTCCGCGATTGTTCTACGAGATATATGGATGTACCATTGCCGCAATTGCCAAAACTTTTAATACTTTTTTTAATTATGTTCTCGTCATTACCCAGTGGTTGGTGCATAGCCAGGCGATCAAAGGCGAAGTAATTGGAATTGATTAAGGACTCGGTACTTTTTTTAATTCATTAGATACCGATTCTATGAGCAAAATCGAGAACGAATTGGATCGTCAATTGTTACTATGGTGGCATTGCGTGCTTGGCGCCTATCATCGCTTAAACAATCACTCATTGTTATAAGACTGCGATTTTATGATTTCGTCGAAATGTAGTAAACGCTAAATAGTAGGGCCTAATTAAAAATACTTTACTTGACATCCCGATGAGTTATCGGAATATCTATTTCTGACTTTAATCCGTATTCGAAGTTTGTGTATCCGAAGTACTTTTTTTTGTAATAAGATTGCCGAGATCACAATTTCTGTAGCAACCGGGGTAATCTTTGAAACACTTACAGGTCCGTAAATATAATTTTTTATACAAAAATAAAATTATGTTGAAACTTGAAGTCGTCGGGAAATAGAATCTCTAGTCTTTTGACATTACCACTTAAAACCACAGGATATCAGTCTTATATATATATATATGCAGTATCGCTTAAGTACGTATATAAATCTGGGAGACGTCTAACGAGGATTTCCTTTCGCAGCACGAGTTCGCTGAGAACCGCTACCTGACGGAGAGGCGGCGGCAGGCGCTGGCGGCGGAACTGGGCCTGGCGGAGGCCCAGATCAAGATCTGGTTCCAGAACAAGCGAGCCAAGATCAAGAAGGCGACGGGGCAGAGGAACCCGCTCGCCCTGCAGCTGATGGCCCAGGGCCTGTACAACCACAGCACCGCCACCGAGAGCGACGAAGACGAGGAGGAGATAAACGTCACGTAATTCGCAGATAAAATATGATGAGAGTAGCACAGATTGTAATTGACGAAGGTCATTCGATATTAGACCAATCAAATGTTGGTACAGATTAAAAGCGTTATAGGAAATAAGACTTACCAAATGACAGATTACGAAACGCTTGACCTGTAAATTTTTCACGAGTTTGTTTTGTTCAAGACGTGTATGTATGTTGAGGTTGGATTCACCTCGCAACTCGCGGTTATGTCTACATACAAATCACCGGAACAAAGAGAGAGTATTTAAAATTGACGGATTTATTGATAAGGGCTTAGGCTTAGGGCTCTTTATTAATAAGGGCCTAGATACAATCATATTCATGGCCTTAGTACCTTAAAAGTTGCCATTTTTACACACTACATGTGATATGGCACAAAGATCATGATTGTGGCAATATTTTATTCAGACTTGCCACCTGACGATGTTCCTTTATTTAAAAGTAAGCAATTGTGTATTTATTATTTAATTTTTTGGTTAAGTACTCCTTACACTGACGTATTAGTTTAAACGCCCAAAGTATTGATATTAGTGAAAAAGTCTTCGTGAATGCATTATACGTCGCGCTCTGTCGGACTTTCATTGTTTTAATGAGGTATTACAAAGAATATATGTTTAATAAAAATATATTCATGTAGGTGTTTGTCGAAGTTGTATAAATAAATATTTTTATTTTTCCCAATCATTTAGATTTCATTCGATTTTACAACACTAATGTAATTGAAAAAAATGAATTCGATGAAAATTATTTGCACAGAATATAATTATATAATGAGCACACAAGTATTTTTTAAAGCGTCCTTTTAATTTAGTAAAGATTACTCATTTACTGAAAAGATGCGATATAGTAACCAATTACCTAGTAATAATAGAGATAGGTTCATGTAAAGATAGGTTAAAAATATATAATGGTATCTATTTAGTAAAAAACCATACGCTATATATAGTTTTGATTTTATAATTTTCCGTTAAATTTTAAATTGTCAACAGAATTATACATTATTGGCGTAAATTAAAAAAAATGTTGTTAAATATTTAGCTGTTGCACTGGAGAACTCGTTTTAATATGAATTTGACGCCATTTCATTTGATTAATGATTAGAACGATTGGCGGGAAATTTGACTCGAAAGTTTTGGACTCATTTGTTGCGCATTTTTTATCTGTATCTTTAATAAGATTACTTGGAGGCTGTTAAAAGCGCTTTAGCTAATTTTTTTACGAACGTATCTAATATTTTATATAAACCGTCTGAATAATACTTGTAAATTACTATTGCACACGTAAATTCTTGTTAAAGTAGTGACATGTGGATGTTGTATTATAAAATGCTAATTTCTATTGTATCTCGAAGTCATATTTATGTTTAATGTTTAATAATTGTAAGCGGTAGAAAATTTTACACATTTATTATCTCTCGTAGTTCGTGTAGATTCAGTCACGGTTTCTTCCAATTTTAATTAGTGTTTTAATGTAAATATTTACAAATTTTATTTCATAGTTATTGTGGACTGCGTTAATTTTAAGTGTAAATAGAAATAAATTATATCTATGGTTTAACAATCGTTTTTTTTTTATCTCTAAAGTATATCGTTTCTGATGAATTTTCCTTTGTGTATAGTAAAATTATGTTTATTTAAAGTGAGTGGCTCTGATGGTGTGATTAATTGAAATATGCAAAGGAATTAGAGATAGACACCGCCTAATTGAAATTGAGTTTGAAAATCACCTGAACTGTCTAAATTACAATTTTTTTTATTTTAATTAAAAAAAAATATGAAAATAGATAAAAAATAGAAAATAAATGTTTGGCGAGTATGGTGGGAGACAGAATTTGAGACTGAAATTTAGCGTTATTCTTCAAAATCAGTTTATTCTTGTATTGATATATACTTATTTGCTTATTATTTATCTTTCCATTCCGTGATCACGATACTTCGCGAAAACGTATCGATCGACTAAGTAAAATATTCGAATTACTCCTATTATGTACTCAAATTATCCTATTACATATTCGGAACATAAGAAATCATTAAGCGCGTTCAATTCCGTTCGACAGACAATGCCTCTGGCTCCTTCTAGAACCTTCCAGAAGCGCGCCGTTCGCTTCGGAGAACCGAGCGCGCGCGCAAAAACGGCCCGCCGTGCGTCGAAGTGTCTCGGAATGTTTCCCATGCGTTTCCAGTATTCGAGCCGTTCTTAATTAGTTTCCCGGTAGAGCTACGCGGGCAAGTGTTAATTGGCCGGGATACGGCCGCCCCGGTTGCCTAGCGACCGCCTGTCATGTGCGAATACCAAACTGAGGGGTCGCATAATTGTACTCGATTGTGCGACGACGACTTTTTTGTCAATTGAACAAGCGCAGATGGCGCGGTTGTGTCGCAAACACTTTTACAAAGTAAATAGTTTGTTTGAAGTTTTTAGACATTGAAGTTTATCTGCCAGTGATATTGATTATCATTGCGACGAGGTTCTGAGCACTTATGTAAGAGCAACAACATTTGAAATAATCACCACTGTACACATAGATCCAGATTTATTGGAGAAGTAGGTACTAGGGCTCACAGAAGAAGAGCGTTAAATACAGGTACATACCAAATCCTGGTAATACTTTGGCAATCTTACTGCTTTTGCAATTAATTGTCTTTCGGCGGCGCATCAAAACTACACTTACTGTTATCTATTAATAATGAAACAGACTGCAAGTCCGTAGCGCACAATGATTTATTGATGAAGGAAATAATAAACACAGTCAGCTTTTCGCATATTTTCTTATATTGGATATGAGAACGTGTTCTTGCTCGTTATGTCTTATGTTCTACTTCGTTTGCAGAACATTTGTAATGTAGTTTTACTATGTTTATTATGTGAGGTATGTTATTACATAATCTTTTAAAATCATTCATCAGATGAGCCATTGACAGTTGAGATTATGACATGGAGGCTTTATTTTTTTAGAAATTTAAAGTTTTTTATAGTGCTAGATGAGCAGAGATTAGCCGAATGCCGAAGACGTGGGTTCGATTCTCACAGCGGCGACAATCTTTTCGTACTTTTTCTACAAGTTTTAAGATTTGCAGTTACTTATTTAGCTTCATATTTTTTAACTATTGTTTAGTAAGCGTTCGATGTGGTTGTGGATCCGACTTGTTGGGGTGGCTGGAAGTCGTTGTGTCTGGAAGCGAGATGATTCAAGATGACTCTCAAAAACAGCAGATAGACGGGGCTCAGAAGAAATATCGTTCTATAGTTCTCTAAAACTTACGTTATCGCTTTTCTTGAAGAACAGCACCACCAAACTTCTGCTTCCTGGTGTAGCACCATCCGCAATTCAGCTTCTGCTATTCATTAGCTATTTTTTTTATGTGAAAAGTTGCCAAACGGGCAGACGGTTCACCTGATGGTCAGTGAATACCGCTGCTCATGGACATCTGCTACACCCGAGGGTTACAGATGCGTTGACAACCTTTTGAAAATTGGGCTCCGGCTACCTCACACATCAGACGATCAGACGAAACGCGAAAGTATTTGTCATACTTCCCCTTTACGCTGGTCTTCTGTGAGGTCGTGGTACTTACCCGGACGGGCCTGCCCATTCGTGCAACAGCCGAGGCTGCTGCGTGGCCCTACCATCGTGAATTACCCCAAGCACCGGTTCTCTACCCGCTTTCAGAAGCTCTACTGTAATTCCGTCGTCCCCTGGTGCTTTGCCATCCTTAAAATGGTCAAGAGCTATTCTAACCCCGCTCAAACTGACTTCCTGGATATTTTAGGAATAGTGACTGATAAGCATCGTTCTCGGGTCGTTATTCAAACGTGTGTTAGTCTCCAAAGACGATGTGTACAGCTGTCCATAGACCTGACAGACGACCTGTGCAACTGTGCGGCAAGTAGGTAGCTCCGAATCGTGCTTCGTGGCAGAAATGATGGAAATGATTAGCCTTTCGTCGACTGTTGGTTCAACTTCGACCCACCCTGAAAAGGCGTTAGAAAGCACTGACAAATTAAGTAGCGACAAAAATGTCATTTAACATACCACCTGACTTTATTTATATAATTTAGTTTGGAGAAAGCAGAGACTTCATGGAGTCCAACGGTGCTTTGCGAAATCGAGAACTATGATAGAGACCATCATTCAACACAGATAAAAATATTAGAAGCACGATTGCCCTCAATTTATATTAAATCGTCATTTGATAAATAGAGACAGCTGGAGTGCTAATATAATCTAAAAATCTGCTAATTTAAAATATTTTATCGTCATTTGAAAAATAGAGACGATTTGTCACATCACAAAGTAGTTTCTGGAACTACCCCGTTTTGACGGATCATTGAGAAGAGAAAGTACCTGCTAAGAAAGTACTTTTCCGTTTCGTCTGGTGAGTGAGGTAGGCGGCGACCACTTTATTAAAAGGTAGCAAGGGACCTGTAGCCCTTCGGATGTTGCAAATGTCTATATTATAACTTAACATCAGGTGAATCGCCAACTCGATTGCCACCTTCGCAACACAACGCGTACGCAAGGTACACCCGCGTTCCGGAGCGGTTCTCACCGCTCCCAGCCACCGATTAGCTAATTCCACAGTCGACAGCCATCGGGGTTTCAGTTCAAACCGCGACCTCGATGGCCCTTAGATGACACATCATACTTAAACGCACGCATGAGCACATGCGTGGCCCTACCCACAGCGGAGGGCCCAAACCCGTGGGTTCTGGCTAGCCCACCGGTTCTGCGTCAGTTGAAGCTTTAATAGTCTCGGGACTGAAATCACAAACATCAGTTAATACAAGAATACAAGACAAGCCACATTCGCAACATTAAAAATCAGTATGTTTGATTAGTTTAAACAGCTTGTTAATTTATCGCCCGATTCAATTTGCAATTCCAAGTTACGTCGCAAACAATCTCGTTCGTTTTGACATCAAAATCGATAGAAAATGAATCAAATGTGACACAATTGATTGCTAAACAACAACAAAGTTTAAA